TGTCGCCGAGTTTAACAGCCTGGCCGCTGCGGCCGTCATTTCTAACATTGCTGGCGCGAGCTCAGCCTCCCTGCCGGCCTCGCTCAGTTTGGCCAGCTATCCTTGCCCCGAAGCGATCGACCTCCATGGCTCGTCCGGTGCTTCGCGCGCTTCGTGCGGCTCGTTCGACTCCGCCTGCCGGGACTCCATTGACGGCCTCGCCTCTCTGGACCCGAACACTCTGGTCACCCTGAGTAACCTGGCTGCTGCGGCGGCCGCCGCCGAGAGCAACGGTTTCTGCAGCCTCAACACCCTTGCCACGGCTGCATTGGCCGTCGCGAACGCCCAAAATCACCAGGTGAGCCAACCGTTCGAGTTCACGCCTTGCCTCATCCTCGCACCAACTCTTCTCTCCTTCTTGCTTAAGACCAAAATGACGCGGTCTCTAGTTTGGTCACAGTCTCCTTTCGCTGTATAGGAATGGTCTGATCTCGTTTTCGCAACATGGTCAGGGCCAAAGGAGGACCTAGTGGAATATATACCCAGTCCAAGTCACGAAAACGAGGTTATACCAACTCAATACAGCTAAGGCTGACTGCCACTTCATCTTGGTCTTTATCTTGTTTTGTCAATACGAACTCGGAGAATCTACCTTTTCTGGTATCCTCTTCAATAGTAATTGTGATACCAGGCAAGATGAATTCTTCGAGCTGCCTTGGCGACATGACAACATTTCAAAATTGGACATTTAATCCTCTACTGCCCATTTAATCATCCTTGGCTGAGGGCGTAGTGTAGCTCCGCCTTATCACTAGCCTGTTTTTTCTGCTGGGGTTCGTTTGATGTATAAGCCTGTTGCAAATGCGGTGGGTCTATAGCAGCTATAGCGGGGCACCAGCGACGCGGAGAATTAATGCCCTTATAATCTTGCCAAATTCTTAGTCATCACTTGAGTAGATCACCTCGGAGCCTCGCACAGGAGGAGGCCGCACTCTCGCCGTCAGAACCCGTGGCTTATGCCTACTCACCTTGAAATTGTATGCCTCTGGATCTTTATACTCTCCATTCGTCCTTCAGGCAGTCGGCAGCCATCTGCTAGCTGGGCAGGTGGCAATCAGACAGAACCTACTCATAGCATGAAATACACTCAACTTGACGGGGGCCGCTCAGGGAATAACTGTAACTGACTCGAAAATCTGCTCTGTCAGTTTCTATTCTCTATTATTTACGCTAGCCAGGTGGCAGGACAAAATTGTGCAGCCCCCTTAATAATTGTGAACCAAGAGCTTTCCTTTCCGTAAACCGAAAGAAGGTTCATTAACACTAACGTCCTGTTTTA